CAGGGAGAACAGTGGAGGATGGCCCAAGTCCTTGGGCCCTGCACCCCATGGGAGACCAGGAGAAGCACCTGGCTCCTGCCATCGGATCAGCGAACGGCAAAGTAAGACCTTTCTCTCTCTCTCTCTCACTATCCACTCTGCCTGTCAAAAAAAAAAAAAAAAAAAGTGATCACACTTGCACAAAGGTGTGCATTTGGTCGCACTGTCAGTAATGATGAAAATTAAAATTGACCTGGGGCCGGCGCCGCGGCTCACTAGGCTAATCCTCCACCTAGCGGCGCCGGCACACCGGGTTCTAGTCCCGGTTGGGGCGCCGGATTCTGTCCCGGTTGCCCCTCTTCCAGGCCAGCCCTCTGCTGTGGCCCGGGAGTGCAGTGGAGGATGGCCCAGGTGCTTGGGCCCTGCACCCCATGGGAGACCAGGAAAAGCACCTGGCTCCTGGCTCCTGCCATCGGATCAGCGCGGTGCGCCGGCCGCAGCGCGCCGGCCGTGGCAGCCATTGGAGGGTGAACCAACGGCAAAGGAAGACCTTTCTCTCTGTCTCTCTCTCTCACTGTCCACTCTGCCTGTCAAAAAAAAAAAAAAAAAAATTGACCTGGAAATTGTGGTGGAGGGTTCAAAGTGATTACAAGGCAGCTATTTAAAGAATGAACTGAACTGGGGGGCTGGCGCCGTTGGCTCACTTGGTTAATCCTCCAACCTGAGGCTCCGGCATCCTATATGGGCGCTGGGTTCTAGTCCCAGCAGTGGAGGATGGCCCAAGTGCTGGGGCCCCTGCACCCCATGGGAGACCAGGAGAAGCACCTGGCTCCTGGCTTCGGATCAGCGCAGCTCCAGCCATGGCGGCCATTTGGGGGGTGAACCAATGGAAGGAAGACCTTTCTCTCTGTCTCTCTCACTCTCTGTAACTCTACCTGTCAAATAACTAAAAAATAAATAAATAAATAAATAAATAAATAAATAAATAAATAAGAATGGACTGGGCCCAAATGTACTGCCATAGAAAGGCTGAAAAAACACATTATTAGGTTTAAAAAGAAAGCAAGGCATGGAGCATCACATATAGTATAAACTCATTGATGTTGATTTAAAACTAAGTAAACACAGCAAGAATGGGTCTTCTCCAAGTCCCTGAGAAGCACAAGTTTTGTTTTTGTTTTTAATTACAGCATGGTATTTAGAAACCATTTAAGAATACTTAATAAATAGACTTGTCAAAATGAGTCTCATGTCTGATGAGTGTCTGGGTTAAAATTGGAATCTCAGAACATTTTCTACAAATTTTTTCCTTGGGAAAAAGTAATACTAAAAAAAAAAATAAAAATCTTTTATTTCTTTTAAAACTCCTCCGGCCATTGAACTTCACAGATGTAGCAACCCTTGTTCTGCATTTAATTATCTGTAGCCTTCTTACTACCACACCCAAAGCTATTTACTTCATTTGGGGTTTTGTCCCTATTTGGAAGAAATACAGCTTCTCAGCAAGGAGCCTGAAGAAAAGCATTTGGGGAAGCATCTCAAGACTTTCAGGTCAGACAAGTATGGAGACAACCCCAGGTACTCTTAGCCCTGCACCAGCTGGTTTTATGTCTAATTAGGCTGCAGCCTGCTTTGGAAATAAAATGGTGTCCCTGAGCTATTGGCTGGAATTCTGCAGATTCTCCTTGATCAACCATCCCTCAGACTTCAGATCCTGGAGTCCAAGGACTCAGCCAGCTGGCCCTGGCGCCCCCTGATGGTACCAATGTATACCTACACCTTCCAGCCTTCGCCTACACTGACTGTCCAATGAATGTGCCAACAGACCTGGAAAGGAATACCCCAGGACCTTACAAGGGCCTGATCTGCCTCCTTCTTCCCTGGCCTCACCTGCAACCATCCCATTGTGTTTCTGGATGCCTCTTCCACCAGAAACACAATTACCCATACCTATACACAAATAATCTTTACTGGATTCATTTATCAGCTCGTGTGTGTCCGTGTGTGTGTGTGTACACTGCTTAGAATTCTCTATGTTCAAGACTGTGTCATCCATGAATGGAGATAGTTTGACTTCTTCCTTTCTAATTTGAATGCCTTTTGTTTCCTCGCCTAACAACCCTGGCAATAACCTCTAGGTCAATGAGGAACAGAAGTGGTGAGCATAAACACCCTTCCTTTGTCCAGAGCTTTGTGGAAAACACTTTCTTGCACTGTTTCACCATTAAGGATAATGTCAGCCGTAGGGTTTGCAGAGATGTCAGAATCAGGTTGAGAAAGTTCCTTCCTATTCCTGGTTTGCTGAGTGTTTTTGTCATGAAAGGAAGTCGGATTTTGTCAAAACGCTTCTTCTGTGTCTGTTAAGATGATGATGGGGTTTGGGCCTCTATTCTACTTTTTGGTGTACTATTTCAACTGCCTTGAATATCTGGGATAAGTCCCACTTCATCTTGTGCATAATACTTTTTATATGTGGGTGGGTTGGACTTGGATGTGATTTGCTAGGATTTTGTTGAGATTTATGCATCAGTGTTCATAAGACATTTTGGTCTATGATTTTCTTATAATGTCTTTGATTTTGGTATCAGAGTAATGATGTCCTCACAAAATGAATTGGGAAGTAGTCTCTCCTCTCCTGTTTTTTTGGAAGAGTTTGAGAAAACTTGGTGTGAATTCTTTAAATGTTTGGTAGAATTCATCACTGTTGATATTAAGGCCTGAATTTTTCTTTGTGGTTTTCTGATTACTAATTCCATCTCTTTGTTATAGGTATACTCAGATTTTTAACCTCTTTTTAGTTGTCTCAAGTCATGTCTTTCTAGGAATTCATCCAGGTTATCTAATGTGTTGGCACAGGATTCCCATCGAATTTCATTTTTCTAAGGTCAATAATAATGTCCCTGATTGTAGTAATTTGCATATTCACTGCTTTTTTCCTTTGGTCAGTCTAGCTAAGGGCTTATGAATCTTGTTGATATACAAATTTATTTTTTTAAGATTTATTTATTTATTTGAAAGGCAGAGTTACAGAGAGGCAGAGGCATAGAGAGAGTGAGGTCAACCATTTGCTGGTTCACTCCCCAAATAGCCACAACAGCCAGAGCTGTGCCAATCCGAAACCAGGAGCCAGGAGCCAGGAGCCAAGAGCTTCTTCTAGGTCTCCTATGCAGGTGCAGGGGCCCAAGGAATTGGGCCATCTTCTACTGCTTTGCCAGGTCATAACAGAGAGCTGGATTGGAAGTGGAACTGCCAGGACTTGAACCAGTGCCCATATGGAATGTTGATATTGCAGATAGTGGCTTTACCCACTACACCACAGCGCCGGCCACAGAATTTATTTTATATAGAACTCAAGGTTCAGAGACACCAGGTGACCTCTTGATCACACTGGCAGGTATACAGTGGAAAGTCATTAAATGCTTGCAGTTGGGGCTGGTGCCGTGCCTCACTTGGTTAATCCTCCACATGCAGCACCGGCATCCCATATGGGCCCGGTTCTAGTCCAGGTTCCAGTCCAGCTCTCTGCTGTGGCCCGGAAAGGCAGTGGAGAATGGCCCAGGTCCTTGGGCCCTGCACCTGCATGGGAGACCAGGAGGAAGCACCTGGCTCCTGGCTTCGGATTGGCACAGTTCCAGCCGTGGCGGCCATTTGGGGGTGAACCAGCAGAAGGAAGACTCTCACTGTCTATATCTCTACCTGTCAAATAAAAAAAATGCTTGCAGTTAAATGTACTCTTTAGATTCTATCTTCTGTTTCCCCTCAATGGCATACAAAAAGCAATAAAATTGCACCTGGGTGACTATTGTGTATAACTTTATCTCCAAAAGGGAAACAACTTAAGTAAACCCAACACATGTTGAACACAATGTTATACATTTTGATCCCTTTTTAAAATTAAAACGGATAAACTAATCAGAGAGATCTAATATCATTTGAAAATGTATGTAGCGGAGCCAGCGCTATGGTGTAGTAGGCTAAGCCTCCACCTGCCCCTACAGTGCCAGCATCCCATATGGGCACCAATTTGTGTCCTGACTGATCCTCTTCCGATCCAGCTCTCAGCTATGGCCTGGGAAAGCCGAAAAAGATGGCCCAAGTACTTGGGCTCCTTTACCCATGTGCAAGACCTAGAAAAAGCTTCTGGCTCCTGGCTTCAGATCAGCCCAGCTCCAGCCATTACAGCCATTTGGGGAATGAACCAGTGGATGGAAGACCTTCCCCTCTGTCCCTCCGTCTTTCTTTCTGTAGCTCTACTTCTCAAATAAATAAATAAATAAAAACCTTAAAGAAAAGAAAAGAAATGCATAGCAAACCAGGTCAACTTACATCAAAGCCATTTTTTTCTCAGTGAACTAACATTATTGAATCAGTCTCCAAAATGAGTGACCCAAATGCTAAAATGTTAGGACCTGAAACCTGGCCTTTCCCATACGTTTCAGTAGGGCCTGAAGGTCAGAGCAGTGAAGCACTCATACCTGCCTCACTGCTGTGGGTTCCCGGATGGCAGCTGTGCAGGGAAGGGGTGGCTCATGTGCTGCTGCATTCACACCTCCCTCTCCTTGAAATTTGTATCTTTGCTAATGCTCGTGTGAGCGTGCACACACACACCACCTGTAATAAGCCTGAGAGAGAGAGAGAGAGAGAGAGAGAGATCTGAGCAAAACTACAAGATTTCAGTGCAGCTCCAGGTTCAGCCCAACTAAGAACCGGGCTCATCTAAATCATAGCAATTTGGTTCAGAAAAGAATGGGTGTTGACTCTATCCACTCACTTCTCTGAGGTGGGTTAGGTGGTGTCAGCGCATTAGGAACCTACCTACCATAAGTTCCACTTACAGCCATTTATCAGGACACAGCCCGGCGAAAGTCAAGAACACCTCTATCTGAAAGCCACTGGCTAAGAGTAAAGCCCATCAGTCCTAAGCTAAAGGAATGACCAAGAAGCAGTTGTAGTTCGCTGGCGGTTCTTACAACGGCATCCTAACATAAAATCCACTTGAAACCCTTAGGGACTGTACTCACCGTCTGTCTGCGGCTCCACGTCCATCACTGCACGTTCCGGCTCGACCTGTCTACCCTGCTCCCAGCCCTGGGCGGCTGCCTGCAGGAACCATGACGCCACAAGAATGACGTCAGCGGCGCACATCAGGGCCGCGTCGACAGGAAGGACGTCAGCGTGGGCCACGGTATCCACCAAGCGTCCTCCCTGGAGCCTGCATGTAATCCCCTGGAGGCTTCATGCCCAGCAGGGGAGCTGCCCTTCCTTGAAGGCCCCTGGCTTTAGCACGCTGGGCCCTCCTTCAACCTCCTTGGTCGACCCGTGGTGCAGGGCGCCTCCTGTGGGCCCTCTTGACAGCCCTTGGGGGTAAAAACGCACAGGTACTGGCCAGAGCGCTCCTCAGTGCAGGGGTGACTGAGCAGGGTGGGCAAGCTGAGCCGGACCAGCAAAGCTAATTCCGGTTCCTGCCGCAGGGCCCGTGAGCGCTCCGCTCCGCCGTCTGCCTCCAAGAACTCCCCGGGTGTCTAGCCCGGAATCTCGCTCCTGTGCCTCCTTCAGTCTGCACCTTCGCGGTGGAGTCCGCGTCTACAGGGGTTGCAGGTCTACAGAGGCGATCAGATCTTCAGATCTGAAGAATCTCAGAAACTGCAGCTTATCTGTTTTCATCTCTGGATGATGCCCACAGGAATTTCCCCCCATTTTTGCATATTTTTAACATAGCAATGCTACCAGTTTTTTCCCATACCTGAGTTGGCAGTAGGGGTCACCTAAGAATACTCTTAGTCTGGTGTTTTCATGACCACTTATCTGATTTGTCCTATTTTGCAGGTGGTTTTGCAGGATCATCTCTCCAGGCTTCTGGAAGTGCCCCCCAGAGAACAGGTTCTACACAGGAGCTCTGCTTCAGGGTCCCGGCGTCAGACATGAGCTGGGCAAACAGCGAAGAGGGAAGAGGCCAGAAAGCCTGCCAGCAATTCCCGGCCACTCACGGTCTTGTGTGTTCAGTGGAGGATTTTATGTTGACAAATAACCAAAAGCAAAGACAGACGTGCTTGTCTCTGGTCTGCACCTGCACCCTTCAGCAGACACTGCGGCGGCCTCTTCTCTCATCTCGTTTGTGGTTGTAATCAAATCAGGCATTTGAAATCATAAATGGTGTTCAAGCAGCGACTCATTCTAATCCATAACAGTCCCCGAATATCTTCCCAGGCTACCGACAAAGTTTCGTGATTATCGAATGAACTGCCACAGAAGTCTAGGGCACTTAGAGGAGGAGATTAAAATAAAAACTAGAAGCGGAGCTGCTTCCTTAGCCAGGCCAATGGGAGGCTGAAGGTGTTACTTTCTGTGTTACTCTCTGAAAGAGGGCGAACTTCATGACATGAAATACGAGACCAAAACTAGAGACAAAGAGCAGCATGAACCAGAAGCAAGCAGGAAGGAGGAAAATTAAAATTAGAGAAGATATCAATGAAATTGAAAAAAGGAAATGAGGGGCCAGTGCTGTTGCTTAGTAGGTTAAGCCTCCACCTCTGGCACTGGCATCCCATATGAGCACAAGTTCGAGTCCCGGCTGCTCCACTTCTGGTCCAGTTCTCTGCTTATGGCCTGTGAAAACAATGGAAGATGGCCCAAGTGCTTGGGGCCCTGCACCCACATAGGAGGCCCAGAAGAAGCTCCTGGCTTTGGATCTGCCTGGCTCCAGCCATTGCAGCCATTTGGGAAGTGAACCAGTGGATGGAAGGCCTTTCTGTCTCTCCCTCTGTCTGTAACTCTGCCTCTCAAATAATAAATAAAATAATTTTTAAAGTAGGAAACGAACAGAATCCATGAAACCAAAATCTTGTTCTTTAAAAAATCAATAAATCTGGCCTTGCTGGATGCTATTCAACACTACCCAAGTTAAAATAGTTTGTCTTCCACGTAAATGCTGTTTTCTTAAAAAAAAAAAAAAAAAAAAGATTGGTAATTCTGAGAATCCTCAGGACAGGCCAACCAAGACAAAAAGAGAAAAAATACAAGTAGTTTCCAAAGTGAGGCAGGGATCATTATCATTGATTCCTATGTAGGACTCTGTGCCCACTAATTTAATGACTTAGATGAAATGGACCCAATCCCTTGAAGACAGTCAATCAAAACTCACTAAAGATGGATTAGATAATATGAGTAGATCTACCTCTATTAAAGAAACAAAACATAATTAATAACCTACAAAAACATAGCCACAGGCCCAGGTAGGTTCACTGGTGATTTCTGCCAACTATCTACAGTCAGCACTGTAGCATAGCCAGTAAAGCTGCTGCCTGCAACACCAGCACCATATGGGTATTTGTTTGTGTCCTGGCTGCTCCACTTCCCATCCAGGTTCCTGCTAATGGCCTAGGAAAAGCAGCAGCAGATGGCCCAAGTGCTTGGGCCCCTACCACCCACATGGGAGACCTGGAAGAAGCTCCTGGTTCCTGGCTTTGGCCTGGCCCAACTCCAGCCATTGCAGCCATCTGGGAAGTGAACCAGCAGATGGAAGATTCACTCTGTGTGTGTGTGTGTGTGTGTGTGTAACTCCAACTTTCAAACAAATAATAAATCTTTAAAAAGAAAAAATGATATAAATTCTCTACAATCTGCTCCACAAAACAGCAGAGGGAGTACTTCCTAATTTATTACATCAGAGCAGCATCACCCTAATACCCAAAGCAATAAAGCTATTACTCCCATTCCCAACTCTGTCATTTGCTCACTATTCCTCCATCCTGCATGTGCAGTACAGAGAGCAAACATTACAGTTCAATGAATTACCACTCTGCTGGCCTACAAGGTAAAACTTCATAGTTTTACCATGCATTCTTCAACAGTATAACTCATTTTTGCTGCTTTGTTGAACTTACTTTGTTGAACAGAATCTTGTGTCTTACTTCTCTCACTCAAACTGTTTGTACATTCAACCATGTTATGTGTGTGTTGATCAACATTTGAAGGCATAGTATCACACATTGTTGATAAATCTTTGGGTTGTTTCCAGTGTTTGGCTATCATGCTCACCTTTTGAACATGTTTAATTGTTTTCTATATGTATTTATATTTATATTATGTTACTTCATATACATAAGAAATATAAATTATATATTTATATGCTTTTTTCTGCTATAAACAATTGACAAAATACTATTTATAATGTAAAAAATTAAGATACAGATCATATTGTTGAGAGAAATGAAAAGACATGAAGAAATGGAAAGATAAATAGTTTTAGTCAGGGCTCTGCAGAGAAGCAGAGTCAATTAGGAGAGGGAGAGATGATGGATAGATAGATATAAAAAGATGCTGACTGTAAGGAACTGGCTTATGTAATTATGGATGCCTGCAAGCCAGAAAATCTGCAGGATGAGCCAGCAAGCAGGAGACCCAGGAGTGCCGATGGGATGAGTCCAGTTTGAAGGCCACAGGCTCAAAACCCGGAGGAGTCAGTGATTCAGTCCAAGTCCCAGCTCAAAGGGTCTCAGGCTGGAGAATCCTCTTATTAAGGAGTCCCTGCCCTTCTTCTCAGTTGTGTGTGTGCATGTGTGTGTGTGCGTGTGTGTGTGTCCATCTCACCTAGGATATTTCTATTGCAGTTCATGGCTTTCGGTTCACTCCTCTTGTAGTCTGCAAGGTCTAATCTGCTCTTCTATTCAGCTAGGATTCATTCCTATCAATCCAATTTTTCATCTCAGACATCGAAATGCTTATTTCTAGAAGTTAATTTAGATCTTTTTTATGTATCTCCTGGTCTCTATGTAACATGTTTGATCCTCTCTCTAGCTTCTTTTTCATGTATTTATTGTATTTATTTATTTATTTACTTGAAATGCAGAGAGAGACACAGAAACAGAGATCTTATATCTTCTGGTTCACTCTCCAAATGCCCACAGCAGCCTGGGGCTGAGCTGAAGCCAGGCACTGCAAACACAATCTATATATCCCACTTGGGTGGCAGGAACCCAACTACTTGAGCCATCACCTGATGCTTTCCAGGGTGCACATTCACAAGGAAATTGAAATTGGAAATGGATCTGGGACTCAAACCCAGGCACTTGATGTGGGTGCAGGCATACCAAGCAGTATCTTTAAAAAAAAAAAAAGTGTTTATTTTTATTTTTATTTAAAAGGCAGAGAGACAGAGATAGATCTTCCATCAGCTGGGTTACTTCCCAGATGTCTGCAACAGCCAGAGCTGGGCCAAGCCAACACAGGGACTCAGTCCACATCTCACCTATAGGTGGCAAGGTCCCAAGTACTAGAGCAGTCACCTGCTGCTTCTTGGGGTGCACATTAGCAGGAAGCTAAATCAGAGGTGGAACTGGGACTCAAATCCAGGCAGTCCCATAATGGATCACAGGCATCTTAAATGCTATGACAAACACCCACCCCCACCAAGCTTTGTCTTAACTGCTACACCAAACACTTGCCCTAGTTTCTTGAATATAATGAAATACAGTTGTAATAACTATTTCAATGTTCTTATTTGCTAATTCTGTCATTCATGTTATTTCTGGGTCAGTTTCAAGTAATTGGTTTTTGGAGGTTGGGGGGATTCCTCATTGTGATCTTACTTTCCCATTTGTTTGTATGCGAGGTAACTTTTGACTGCATGCCAGAAAATGTGCTTGTTGAGTATAAGGCATTTTTCTATTCCTACAATTTTTAAGATATATATATTTATTTACTTACTTACTTACTTGAAAGGCAGAGTTAGAGAGAAAGAGAGATATCTTCCATCTGCTGGTTCACTCCCCAAATGATAAAATGACCAAGGCTGGGACAGATCGAAGTCAGGAACCAAGAGCTTCCTCTGGGTCTCTCACATGGGTCCTGGGCCCCAAGAATTGGGATATCTTCCACTGCCTTCCCAGGTGCACTAGCAAGAAACTGGATCAGAAGTGGAGCAGTCAGGACTTGAACTGGTGCCCATAAGGGATGCCTCACGTAGGCCGTGGCTTAGCCCACTGCACCCACAGCACTAGTCCCACCTATAAATATTTTTGAGATTTGTTATGAGGCACAGTTAAATTTCTTAGCAAGAGTTTGATCTTTTCAGATCTACTTTTAAATTGTATTGGGCTGGGTGCAGCGCTGTAGCATAACAGGTAAAACCACCGCCTGCAATGCCAGCATCCCATGTGGGCATCAGTTTGACACCTGGCTGCTCCACTTTCGA